TTTGTAATCTCACAGCTTAGAAAGGCCCACCCAGACTCTTGGAACCATACACCCATGAGGGACAACTTAAGGTAAAGCTAACGAGGGAAGTTTCTCCCGAGAAGCAGATGGCCTCCTAGATGTGGACAGATTTCCCAAGATCGTGCATCAAGACTTCTCTGCTATCATGAGGCTTTTAGTTCTCAATTTTTTCCAAGTTCATGCCTGTTATGAACAACTGAACTGAAAAAGGGGTCTCTTGTATATACTCATAGGGTATACTTTTATTTGTGAAGGATAAAAAAACCTCATACTGACTGGGTGCGGTGGCTCACGCCTGTAATCCCAGCACTTTGGGAAGCCAAGGCGGGTGGATCATGAGGTCAGGAGATCGAGCCCATCCTGGCCAAGGTGAAACCCCGTCTCTACTAAAATACAAAAAGTTAGCCAGGCATGGTGGCACATGCCTGTAGTCCCAGCTACTCGAGAGGCTGAGGCAGGGGAATCACTTGAACCCGGGAGGTGGAGGATGCAGTGAGCCGAGATCATAGCCTGGCAACAGAGCAAGACTCAGTCTCAAAAAAAACCCTCACCCACAGAGAACTTTACGCCTTGATAGAGGGAAGATGAAGGGCCAATGTGGGTGAGAAATTTTAATGGTACCTTTGTTGCTTCATAATCAGTCAGAAACAGAGCACTGGCCAACTCCTCTTAAGCTAAATCATAGTTTAAAGAGAAAATTGTCAGTCATGTGTGGTGGCTCATGCCTGTAATCTCAGCAGTTTGGGACGCCAAGGCAGGCAGATCACGAGGTCAGGAGATGGAGACCATCCTGGCTAACGTTAGTGGTGAAACCCCACTCTACTAAAAATACGAAAATTTAGCCGGGTGTGGTGGTACATGCCTATGCTACTTGGGAGGCTGAGGCAGGAGAATTGAGTGATCCCGGGAAGCAGAGATTGCAGTGAGCCGAGATCAAGCCACTGCACTCCAGCCTGGGTGACCGAGCGAGACTCCATCTCCAAAAAAAAAAAAAAAAAAAGAAAAAAGAAAAAAAAAAAACAGAGAACATTGTCAATACAGGTTAAAGAGAATATTGCCAGGAGGCCTTCTCTCTTCTGGATGGGCATATTTGTTCATTTATTTTTCTATGGTGTGTCTTTTTCTTTTTGGAGACAGGGTCTGGCTCTGCTGCCCAGGCTGGGATGCAGTGGCATGATCTCGGCTCACTGCAACCTCTGCCTCCTGGGCTCAAGCAATCCTCCCATTTCAGACTCCTGAATAGCTGGGACCACAGGCGTGCACCACTGCGCTCAGATGAGTTTTGAATTTTCAGTAGAGACAGGGTTTTGTCATGTTACCTAGGCTGGTCTTGAACTCCTGAGCTCAAGCAATCTGCCTACCTCAGTCTCCCAAAGTGATTACAGATTACAGGTGTCAGCTGCCGTGCCTGGCCTATGGTTTGGAGTTAACGAGGCAATGATTAGAAATTTATCCCTCTAAATTTTCCAGACTATTAGAAATTTATAGGCTCTTTAGCAGATTCTACTACAAAGACTATGGTTACACAAAAGACTTTAAATTCTCTTGCTAAAGTTGTGCTAGATAATAGAACTGCTCTAGATTAGTTACTGGCTAAACAGAAATATCTGTGCAGTTGCTGATACTTCTTATTGAACATGGAGGAATACATTGGCTATTACAGAGATTCAGTTGTAGAGGATTAACAAATAGGCTGCTTGGTTGAAACAAGCAGACTCTTATTCTAGCTTATTCTTTGATCTATTTGATTTTAGGTGGCATGGTTCATGGGGACCTTGGCTAAGGAGCATAGTCCAAACTCTTGGGGTTATTCTCCTGATAGTCATAAGAGTAGTCTCCCTGGGATACTATACTCTCTCAAAAGTTTTAAGTGTTTGCATATGGCCATCTGCAGAATGTCAAATGGTCTCTCTTGAATTGGAACAAAAACTCAAAGAAATGCGTGAGCATGAGGACGCCATACTTATGAATGACGTACTGAGACCAGAAACCCAAAATCTCAGTAACTGAGAGTGGTGCTAAGGTCCTAAGTTTTGGTCACACTCTTACCTAAGTGAGGACCTAACCAAAAGGGAGGAATTTTTAAGGTCATTGTTTTGGACTAAGCTTATGCACAAGGCTCCAACAGACCACACCAAACCAAAATGGAGTCACTCATGCTAAATGTGAGACAATTACACTGAAACACTGAAGAAAGAAATAGATCCTAAAATAGACCAGGTTTTGTTTTTCTCCTGAAAACAGGAAATTTCAGCACAAGGAGGTCCCCTCTACTCTTACCCTTAGGAAAAAGTAACTTGAAGTCCTTGTTCCCATTTTACAAAACCCATTGTTCTGCTATTTCCCAGTGGGATTTGAGACCAAATAAGTAAATTTATGATGGTGACAGAGTGACATGAATGCCAATCCATTAAAAACACACACACACACACACACACACACAAATTTGGGGGGTAGATCAAAGGGGATAACTGTTAAGTTTTGCTTAAAGCTACCTCCTTACATCTTTTAAGTTCAGCCTAGAGGTTTCTCTGAACATAGTAAACTGTAACCTAGGCCAGGCGCAGTGGCTCACGCCTGTAATCCCAGCCCTTTGGGAGGCCGAGGCAGGCAGATCACCTCAGGTCAGGAGTTTGAGACCAGCCTGGCCAACACAGTGAAACTCCATCTCTACTAAAAATACAAAAATTAGCTGGGCGTAGTAGTGCGGGCCTGTAGTCCCAGCTACTCCAGAGGCTGAGGCAGGAAAATCGCTTGAACCTGAGAGGTGGGGGTTGCAGTGAGCTGAGATCATGCCACTGCACTCCAGCCTAGGTGACAGAGCAAGACTCTGTCTCAAAACAAAAACAAAAAACTGTAACCTAACTGGATGGGTAAATAGGATATAAGCTACTTGTGTAGCAAACAATGAGTTTCAGCCAATCAATTACAGCTAACTGTTCAAACCATCTTCAAATAAGGCAAATGCCAAGCTGTAACCAATCCATCTGTTTCTGTACTTCATTTCCATATTCTGTATGCCACTTTCCTTTTTCTGTCCATAAATCTTCTTCAGCCATGCGGCTGCTGGAAGTCTCTCTGAACCTATTCTTGTTCCAGGAGCTGCCTGATTAGAAAAACATTCTTTGTTCAATTATAAACTCTGTTAAATTTAATTCGTCTGAAGTTTTTATTTTAACAGAAGATATGATTAGCTCTATTTTACAAAGGTGAACATTGAACAATAATGAGATTAATAAATTATCCACAGTAATAAATCCAGGTAGTGGCAAATCTGGGAAGTATACCTAAACTGTCATTGAAAGACAATGATGTTGCTACTAGCCTACAAAAAGCAGTTGTGATATTGTGAAATATACATTTGTTGGCCATTCCCATTTCCTAGCAGACAACTCCTAAAATCCTTAGAAACTCCTCAGTGTTATCTTTTTGTATGATACTGATTGACTAATGGCTGGTAGCCTTATAGGTAGCTTTAGGATGGGGTCTGGTCACCAGAAAGGCAAGGCAGGATTAGAGGGTTGGGACTTTCAGCCCCACACCCCCAACCTCCAAGGAGGTAAAAGGGGACAAGAGTTAAGTTGATAACTAATGGCTAACAGTTTAATCATTGAGGCCTATGTAATGAAGCATTCATAAAAACCCAAAAGGACGGGGTTTGGAGAGCTTCTGGCCAGCTGAATGCACAAAGGTTCCTGGAGGGTGGTGTGCCCAGGGATGGCATGGAAGCTCCACTCTCCCTCCCCATACCTCGCCCTATGCATATCTTTACAGCATCCTTTGTAATATCTTTTATAATAAAACAGTAACATAAGTGTTTCCTTAGTTCTGTGAGCTGCTCTATCAGATGAATCTACCTTGAAGAGGGGGTCATGGGAACTCATGACCAGAAGCCTGGACTTGCTACTGGCATCTGAAGCAGAGTGCAGCCTTGTGGGACTGAACCTTGAATCTGTGGAATCTGATGCTATCTCCAGGAAGACAGTGTAATGACTGAATTGGAGGACACCCAGCTGGTATCCACTGCAGAACTGATTGTTTGCTTGGTGTGTGGGGAAACCCTCCCCACATTTAGTCACAAGAGTCTTCTGTGTTGATTGTTGTGGTGTGACAGCGGAGATAAAACATGGTTTGAGCTTGCGTTTTGTCCATTCACAGCAGTCTATAAGGATGTCTAGTAGAATGAATCAAGGAATTTACTATGACTAACGAATTTTTCACCAAACTATTGAGAAGAAACTTTTTTTTTTTTTTTTAAAAGACGGAGTCTTGCTCTGTTGCCCAGGCTGGAGTGCAGTGGCACAATCTCGGCTCACGGCAAGCTCCACCTCCGGGGTTCACGCCATTCTCCTACCTCAGCCTCCCGAGTAGCTGGGACTACAGGTGCCCGCCACCACGCCCAGCTAATTTTTTGTATTTTTAGTAGAGATGGGCTTTCACCGTGTTAGCCAGAATGGTCTCAATCTCCTGACCTTGTGATCCACCTGCCTTGGCCTCCCAAAGTGCTGGGATTATAGGCGTGAGCCACCACGCCTGGCCAAGAAGAAACATTTTTAAAGGTTCAGTGACTAGGCTGGGCGCAGTAGCTCACGCCTGTAATCCCAGCACCTTGGGAAGCCAAGGCAGGCAGATCACCTGAGGTCAGGAGTTTGAGACCAGCCTGGCTAACAAGGTGAACCCCCATCTCTACTAAAAATACAAAATTAGCTGGGCATGGTGGCACACACCTGTAATCCCAGCTACTCGGGAGGCTGAGGCAGGAGAATCGCTTGAGCCTGGGAGGTAGAGGTTGCAGTGAGCTGGGATCGTGCCACTGCACTTCAGCCTGGGCAACAGAGTGAGACTTCGTCTCAGAAAAAAAAAAAGTTTCAGTGATTACATATACTTCATATTAAGGCAAAATTTGTTAGAACATTAGATGAGTAATTTAAAGTCTAAACACAAAAAAGTCCCAAAGCCAAGGTAATGACATGCCTTACTTCAATATTTCTTCTCTGCACTGCCTCTGTGTGGCAAAACAAGCGATAGCCCACATTTTGATTTCAACTCCTGTGTGGAATTGCTTCCCTCGCATATCCCATACTCCGTGGCTTGGTGTTGCTACTGTCCGATTCTATGTGAGGAGAAAAAAATAACACGGTGAAAAAGAACAAAAATTTTCAATAAACAGAAAGTAAAAATTTCAAATCGCTGAACCGAAATATTTCTGATATGCCTTTCTCTCCATACTTACAGACTGTATGTGTATGATTAAAACATTAACAAGAGGCTTTACCCGTCCTCCATACTGGAGCATAGGTGCTGGAAGTACGCGTCCAGTTACATGAGCCATTTCATCCCGAACTTTAAATTGAAACTCCTGAACAAATGGATCCGTTTCATAATTTGCACTTCTTACCTAACAATAGAAAAAGTTTGTAGTTACTCTCAAAATTCCTCCAAATCCCCTACTTTACTGCATTAGAACCCTCTTTTTTTTCTTCACTGTGTAAATAATATGTTTTCCAACAGGTCTAACCAATGGTGCTCTAACTACAGAATAGCAAATCTTAACCTGGGGACCATGGGTCATGAATAGACTGTAGAAATTCTGTGACCTCCTGGTAATTTATATAAAATTTAAATGTATGCATTAGGTTGAATAATATATTTTGGCCTGGCATGGTAGTTCATGCCTGTGATCTCAGCATTTTTGGAGGCCAAGTTGGAGGACTGCTCGAGCCCAGAAGCTTGAAATCAGCCTGGGCAACATAGTGAGACCCTGTCTCTACAAAAAATTAAAAAATTAGGCTGGGCCTGGTGGCTCACATCTGTAATCCCAGCACTTTGGGAGGCTGAGGTGGGAGAATTGCTTGAGCTCAGGAGCTCAAGACCAACCTGGGCAACAAAGTAAGACCTCATCTCTACAAAAAATTAAAAAGAATTAGCCAGATGGGGTGCCACGTGCCTGTGGTCCCAGCTATTTGGGAGGCTGAGGTGAGAGAATTGCTTGAGCCTGGGAGCTCAAGGTTGCAGTGGGCTGTGATTGTACCACAGTACTCCAGCCTGGGGGTCAGAGCAAGAATCCGTCTCAAAAGAAAAACAAAAAATCCATGAAAATGATAATAAAACTTTTTTTTTTTTTTAAAGAGATGGAGTCTTGCTATATTATTCAGGCTGGCCTCGAACTCCTGGGCTCAAGCCATCTTCCTCTCTCAGCCTCCTAGATAGCTGGGAACTAGGCATGCACCACTATGTACTACCCAGCTGAAAACAGTAAGTTTGTATGATTGAACCTAATATGCTTTTGGATGGAGAAAGAAATATCTCACCTAAAAAGAGGTTAAGAACCTTTGACTATAGGAGATCTGGATACATTCTATTAAAATTTATTTTGTGTAGAGTTTGATAGGAAGTATTAAAAATCTTAAGGCTTTTAAAAATTATTTGATTTATAATTTATATATAATTACTTGACTATTTTCAGTGCCATAATACACAATTTATTTAATGGAATACACTTAAGACAGATAAGAAAGCCAGTAGGAGTCACAGGTTATAATTGTTATATATTCCCATACATATAACCAAAGAGAAGGAACTTAATGTAATTCAGTGTTGGATCTCACTGAAATTCATGCTTAAAGCATGCTACACAGAATCTCTCCACAATAAACAGGAAAAATCATTTTCTTTTCTTTTCTTTTTTTTTTGAGACGGAGTCTCGCTCTGTCACCCAGGCTGGAGTGCAGTGGCTGGATCTCAGCTCACTGCAAGCTCCGCCTCCCAGGTTTACGCCATTCTCCTGCCTCAGCCTCCCTAGTAGCTGGGACTACAGACGCTCGCCACCTTTTTTTGTAGAGACGGGGTTTCACTGTGTTAGCCAGGATGGGCTCAATCTCCTGACCTCGTGATCCGCCTGTCTCGGCCTCCCAAAGTGCTGGGATTACAGGCTTGAGCCACCGCGCCTGGCTCATTTTTTCTTTTCTTTTTTTTTTTGAGACAGGGTCTGGCTCTGTCACCTAGTGGCACAATCACAGCTCACTGCAACTTCAGCCTCCTGGGGTCCAAGCGATCCTCCCACCTCAATCTCCTGAGTAGCTGGGAAGCTGGGACTATAGGTGCATGTCACACACCTGGATAATTAAATTTTTTTTTAGAGATAGGGTCTCACTATGTTGCCCAGGCTGGTCTTGAACTCCTGGGCTCAACTGATAGTCCTGCCTCGGCCTCCCAAAGTGATGGGTTATAGATGTAAGCCCCATTTTCTAAATTAGGTACCAATGGGGCATCTCTTTCAAGCTTATTTGCCATTCATTTCTGTACTTCAGTGTATCCTGTAATGAGGTTACAGTGAATAACAAGGACTATACAATAACAATTAATATACTGTGACTTGTTGCATGATGTACTTGGTGCTAAATGCTTAATGATACATTTTCACAAGTATTTTATAGCTATGAAAGCAGTCTTTTATAACCTGTATCTTTCCAGATACTATAAATATAATAATAAACATAATAATATGATAACAGTAACAGTAAGTAAATGGAGAAGCTAGACTTCGAACCCAGGGTTGTTAGACTCCAAAGTCGGTTTTATTTTTTTAAACTACCATATGATACTTTCTGAACAGCTGAGCTGTAATAAATGAGTTAGAACAGTGAGTTATTGAGACTTTTATAGAGAAAGTAAGAGGTCTTAGTTTCCAGAAGATTTTGGGAAAGCTTTTAAAATCTTATAGAAACAGAGAAAAATCCAGGATGAAAACCAGCCTATATTTTCCTAATTAAATATCATGTAATAACTTTCTTTGACTCTTTACAGAAGAGTCAATAAGGAAAAAAAGGTATTTTTTTCTGTAGTTGGCTTACCAAATAGAAGAACCAGTTTTTAGCCAAAGATGAAATTACTAAGGTTAAAAAATAAATTTAAAAAGCCAGTTTTGCATCCCTATTTTCAATAATCTTTAAAATTGCTTTTGGAAGTATTATTAAGTTGTTTTGGGAAATATTCGTTATTTCCAGATTTTTTTCTCTTTGGGCAGTTAAAATGGTGTTCGAGAAAACAGCCAGATAAGATTCAGATGCCCTTTTATCTTGAGTTTTGTCTTATTCTATGAGTTTTAAAAAGTGATATTGGTAATGCCTTCCTTCCCTTCATTTAGAACAATGAGACAGCACAGAGACCTTACGTGGTTAAAACTATCTTTTATTTTTTTTCTTTTTTCTTTCTTTCTCTTTCTTTCTTTTTTGAGATGGAGTTTCACTCTTGTTGCCCAGGCTGGAGTGCAGTGGTGCAATCCTGGCTCACCGCAACCTCTGCCTCCCGGGTTCAAGCGATTCTCCTGCCTCAGCCTCCTGAGTAGCTGGGATTACAGGCATGCGCCACCACGTCTGGCTAATTTTGTATTTTTGTAGACACAGGGTTTCTCCATGTTGGTCAGGCTGGTCTTGAACTCCTAACCTCAGGTGATCCGCTCCCCCCTCGGCCTCCCAAAGTGCTGGGATTACAGGCCCTGAGCCACTGCGCCTGACCTTTTTCTTTTCTTTTCTTTTCTTTTGAGACAGAGTCTTACTTCATTGTCCAGGCTGGAGTGCAGTGGTGTGATCGGCTCACTGCAGCTTCTGCCTCTCAGGTTCAAGTGATTCTCGTGCCTCAGCCACCTGACTAGCTGGGATTACAGATGCATGCCACCATGCCCCACTAATTTTTGTGTTTTTAGTAGAGATGGCATTTCACCATGTTTCCCAGGCTGGTCCCAAATTCCTGGCCTCAAGTGATCCACCTGCCTTGGCCTCCCAAACTGCTGGGATTACAGATGTGAGCCACTGAGCCCAGCCATTTCTTTATTCAGACTGTATAGCTGCCACTCTGATACTGGAGACTAAGCAATCTTAGACTGAGTGTTAAGAATTTTAGTATTGGCTGGGCACGGTGGCTCACGCCTGTAATTCCAGCACCTTGGGAGGCCGAGGCGGGCAGATCATGAGGTCGGGAGATCAACACCATCCTGGCTAACACGGTAAAACCCCATCTCTACTAAAAATACAAAAAAATTAGCCTGGCGTGGGGGAGTGCACCTGTTGTCCCAGCTGCTGGCGAGGCTGAGGCAGGAGAATGGTGTGAACCCGGGCGGCAGAGCTTGCAGTGAGCCGAGATCACACCACTGCACTACAGCCTGGGTGACAGAGCAAGACTTTGTCCCTGAAGAGAAAAAAAACAAAAAACCAAAAACAGAATTTTAGTATTGCTAGTCATAATTGACTTTTCCTCCTATTTCCCACCTCTTTCAGGTGGAGGTTCCAGTTTACTAAATTGAAACATTTCTTCTGAGAGGATCTGTTCCCTGGATCTACTTAAAAAGCTCAGTGTTCAATGAGAAGGACCTAACCCTTCTCATATAGCCCACCAAGGCTTGTATCGAGAACATTAGATTACTTCCATGATCCCTTTTAATTCTGACAGTCCGTGAAATGGTAATAAGGTATGGGTTGATAAGGACATGGTTCTCTAGTATTATAGTTTGCCCTAATATGTTTTAAATTCTCATTTCTAAGGTTAAGTACTAACCAATCTGCTAATTTCCTCTTGTCTATCTGGTGCAGATCTTGCTGTTGCCTTGATCATAGTGGAAGTCTGATTGTCTGTTAGCTTCTTGATACATCGTTGCCCTGCCACAATATTACAGACCTACAAATGGAAAAAAGTTTTGTACTAGATGTATATATCTTTTTTTTTTAGCTTTTACTTAGTGTCAATTAAATGTAAAATAAAAATTTAAAATAAACTTCATTAAACCACTTATTTTCAATATGTTAAGTAAAAAAGTAGTAAACAAGACGGCTCTACAGTATGATTATAATTAAGTAAAATGTACACCAGATGAAGACTGAAAGAAGTATAGTATATCAAAATGTTAACAGTGGTTACACTAGACTTGTAGGACTATGGATGAACTTGTTTCGTGTTATTTCATTACAGAAAATTTAGAATAAATTAAAACTTAAAAACAGTTCATATTCCAAAACAAATGTTCTGTATGAGGTAAGTTATCGGCCATAAAAGACCCCAAAAGAATGATGAACAGGGTATGAATTAGCAGTGGGAAGGCATTACTTCTAGCGGCAGGTAGGTGTGTTTCTGCTCCTGCCCGACTTGCAGGCAGGGAAGGTGCGGGTACTTCAGCTGAAGAGTATACTTTTCTCTGAAATACTGCGCTACTGTTCTCTCCACAGTTTGGCCATTTTCTAACTGTAAAGGAAAGCTGAGAAAAAAAAAAAGTACACATGAACAATTATTTCCCAGTAAGAGTCAGAAAAACTCCCAACCCCACTAACTAGGGCAAGCTGCCTCACACCATCGCTGCTCTGACAAAATTTCTTACGTTTGATGACTGGCAGGCCTCCTTGTTACATTACAAACACGGTATTTCCGTCTCATTGTTCCACAATGAGTCACTTCAACCTTCAAACCTGTTCCCAACAAGAAAAATGGAGGTTACAGAACTGTCACATGTAAAATATTTATACTTATAAAGCCTGTTCATACTATAAAAACTCAATTCTGAACAGACAAAAAATTCTGTGATACAGGCAATACGATATAAACACCAGATTTTACATATAACATTGCTAATAATGGTCACAATCATGACAGACCTAATGGCAAAATTTTTCCTTACCCCATCAAGCCTATACATTAAAAAATAAAATTGTAAAATTTGCAAAGCCCATAGATCAAGGGCCAAAATCTTCCATTAATAAAAAACACTGTTTACACTAAATTCAGGTATTTATGCTGGGAGAGGGAAGGTGGAATGAAAGAGGAATTCCAATAATTCTCAAGGTATTCCATAATTTCAAATTATGTGATATTTACCTAGCCCAGTCATCACATACTGATTGAAGATCAGAATTTCATAAAGCTCAAGAAAGAAGCCCTTTAAAGATTTATAAAGCAGGAGAAAAAAATACCAGGCATTTTTAACAGAAGCGACAATTTTATAGAAGTATAATATAGTGACACAGCTCTTTTCCAATACTATTAAAAATCAAATGCAACCAAAATAATTCCTAAAGTAGGCGATCCCTATCCTCTTACGGAGTCAAGACCCCTTTGAGAATGTGACGTAAGCAATAAACTCTCAGCAAAATGCATATATACATTATTTAGCACGTGATTTTAGGAGTTATTGGATCCCTGCAGTCCATCTGTGGACTCTAGGAGTTCAAGGATCCCAGGCCTGCTCTAGCATGTGAAGAAATGGGCTTTAAGCCATTGACTGAAGTTCTTCGAGATGAATTTTCTGAAGCAGTGCTGTCAAAGAGAATTTTCTTGAGATGATGGAATGTTCTACATCTATGCTAATATGGTAATCACTAATAACATGTTACTAAGCATAGGAAATGTAGCTGGTATACCTAAGAAACTGAAAATCTAATTTTATTTTTTTATATATAGATTTTTTTGTTTTTTTTTGAGTTTTTTGCTCTTGTTGCCCAGGTCAGAGTGCAATGACGCGATCTTGGCTCACTGCAACCTCTGTCTCCAGGGTTCAAGCGATTCTCCTGCCTCAGCCGCCCGATTAGCTGGGATTACAGGCACCCGCCATTACGCCCAGTTAATTTTTGTATTTTTAGCAGAGATGGGGTTTCACCATGTTGGTCAGGCTGGTCTCAAACTCCTGACCTCAGCTGATCCACCCACCTCGGCCTCCCAAAGTGTTGAGATTACAGACGTGAGCCACCACACCTGGCCTTAATTTTAATTAATTTAAATTTAAGTGTCTACATGTAGTCAGGGCAGTCTTGGCCTAGAGACGAGTTAACAGGTACACAGAGGTCACAGAAAAGCATCTCCTTTCTAAAGTTTGGCCTAGACTCCAAAGGATAAAGTACAAAATGGCGTAGATGGAGAACAACTTTTAGTTCCCTGATAATATTTATGGTTATTACTCTTTGTCATATTTCTCTTTTATATTTGTGATTCCTATACTGCAGTGGTTCTTAGCCAGAGGCCAGTCTGTCCCCCGGGGGACATTTGGCAATGTCTGGAGATATTTTTGATTGGCATGACTGGGGATGTTACTACTTTCTATTGAGTAGAGGCCAGGGATAGTATGAAATATCCTGTAATGCACAGAACAGCCCTACCCCCAATCCCAACAAAGAATTATCCAGCCCAAAATGTCAATGCTGCTGAGGTTGAGAATGCCTGCTGTGGTAAAATGTATTTTCTTACCTAACTGCTACCTGCAATTAGGTAAGAAAATTAGTACCAAACACAAAGATCAATCATATAAATGGTATTTTCTTCTGATAGATCAGAACAAATTAAGACGTTAAATGGACATGGTATCCATTCCTGTACCAGATTGGTATGGGTTTGTTTTTCTTCAGAAGTGCTCCTCCTTGAATCAGTGAGTAGTAGTTTTTCATTAAAACTACCTTTATAAGACAAAAATGTCAGATCAACTAGAGAATTACTATGTCTTTATATTATAAAGGAGACTAGAAAATAAAATACTGTCAAAGGAGGATCTTAAAAGAAGGAAATACTGGCCGGGCGCGGTGGCTCAAGCCTGTAATCCCAGCACTTTGGGAGGCCGAGACAGGCGGATCACGAGGTCAGGAGATCGAGACCATCCTGGCTAACACGGTGAAACCCCGTCTTTACTAAAAAATACAAAAAACTAGCCGGGCGAGGTGGCGGGTGCCTGTAGTCCCAGCTACTCGGGGAGGCTGAGGCAGGAGAATGGCGTAAACTCGGGAGGAGGAGCTTGCAGTGAGCTGAGATCTGGCCACTGCACTCCAGCCTGGGCCACAGAGTGAGACTCCGTCTCAAAAAAAAAAAAAGAAGGAAATACTAATAATATGAAGTAAACAAGATGTAAAAATACTATGTTCAGGGAAGAACACAATAGAAAAGTCTAAAACAAATTTCTGTTATTTGCACCACTTAGCAATTTATTTTCAACTCTTCAAATTAAAAAAAAATATTAATAAGGTTCTCCGAGCCTATAAAGTAAACTTTTACTAAAAATAAGTTGGCACTAATATATATATATGGTACTTTTACCATACATTTTCCCCAATATTTCTGCTGTTTAACTATCATGAGTTACTGGATAAAGAAACCACTTCAAAGTTATTATTAAATATTTTGGTACAAGTTCAACTGGAATAAGATGAATATACTAAGAAAATCAATTCTTTATTGTATACTTTGCGTCAATATTTAACAGCTAGCATCAAATTCTTCATACCAGCTAAAAAACCCATAGATACAGGACAGAACATAAAACTCTTATTCTCTTGGGTTACTGTAGTAGGAATAGATGATATACTTTAAAGAGCCTTTTTAAAATTTTTTTTAAAAAAGCACTATTTTACTTGGAACGAAGAAAAAATAATCAGTTTGTCAACTGGATCCAACCCAGATTTTTCCATCCCCAAACTAGGATCATAGGTACCTAAGAATCAGACCAAAAATCTAGGGGCTAGCAAAAAGCTGAAATTTTTAAAAAGTGGACTAGATAATTCTCTGCCCAGGTCCCTCCCCAAACCCTCCATCCAACCAAAAAAACACTTTTGGCTTTAATAAATATTTAACCTATAAACTTGGCTTTACCTTCACTATAACATCAACTTTATTATGCTTTCTAGTCATTTTTTCAGTCATTTCTTTGGGCCCCTGAGCAGTTGAAGTTAAGATCGAGTCCATGCTCTTCGGGCAGCAGTTGAATCCTTGTTCTGTACATCTTGTATTTTCTGTGATAGAGTGGTGATATGAGTTGATTGCATAGTTACCGCAAAATAATGTAAGTGACTTCATGATATCAGAGGTGGTAACTAAGCAGCAACTCCACTGGAAACCATGGCATTTAGATGATCACATATTAATGGTAGGTAATGTACTAACCTCCTGACAATGCCAGCTGTGCAGTTAATACAAATTATGAAAGGACAATGGTATGGTTGCAAAACAGTTACATAAACAGTTTCTTATTTTGGCATTTAAATAACTTGAGATAAATGGATGTTTATTTTTGAAGCAGGGTGGATCTTCCTTTTAATGTTTTATTACAATGACTATCTCTCTCTTGGTTACTGAATGGCAAAGAATGAATGATTACTGGCGCAAGCAGAATGTATTAAACTACTCTAATTGATCTGGGGGAACTGAAAGATGTTCAATAAACAAACTTAAATGCTTCATTCAAACCACAAGCTGAAAATTATCTGCAATAAATAGGTAAAATCTTAAAATAAAAACAACATTATTATTTCTGGCTATTTAAGATCTAACAATATAAATACAATTTATCCTACTCATTCTGATTAGAGAGTATCAGACTAAATACATATAAAATATAGATTTCAGTACACTATTAAAATTATTTTTTGTTTTTATTTTTGGGCAGCCATGTAGAGATGAATTTATCTGAATTAAATGTACATATGATGCGACAGCACTGTACAAATTTTAGCTACTAAGCATAACAGATAAGATCAAGAGTCAACTCTATAACTTATATTAAATAACTATAATTCTAGAATAACACATGAAACAGGCTAGCCCCACATTAATACATTTTCAAAGGACTGAAATAAATATCATTTCAGAAAAATAAGGAAGTAATTATATTAGAATATGTTCAAAGAATGATTCTAGTTCTAAAATAACAAATATTTTTGGAGTCAGCTTCCTACTTTTAACAGTATTACTAAAGCATTTTCCCACGAGACATTCTTATCCCTTCAGCTAGTCAGGGAAAGTATTAACAAAAAATTAGCTGGCAGTGATACTAACTCCATTACTTGGCATTTCTTTCAAATACCACCTAAGATGTTATAGTAATGAATTTAATGTAATATTTTATTTTATAATTGATGTATAGTTTTACTGGTTATGTTACATAAATAGATTTTAATTATACAAAAAAACATTTTAATAAAAGGTTGTTATATCCATGCATTTTATAGTTAAGTTGTGCTAAATGCTAATTAATTCACCTTTTATCTCTTTGGTGAATTTTACCCGATGAGAATCAGTCAGAGGTCTTGGTTGCTCATCAATATTATGAATATCAAGAACTTCACACATGAACTGAATTACAGGTTGTGCTTTGTAGAAGGCAGTGGCAGAAACTAAGAAGAAAAACACAAATAATACAAATTAATGTTTCCCTAAAAAATTCAGAAATTTCATCTTAGGCTCCATGATAACTATCTATTTAAAATGATCCCTTATGCACATTTATGTACACACAAATTTCCAAAATTAAGCAGTTTTAATTTGACCTCTGAGGCACAAATACAGAATGGCCAGATACTACAGTTTTTATTACCTATCTCTTTCATCATAAGTAACTGATTCATTCCATTCTCTATAGAGAAGTGTTCTGGGTGAGACAAGGCTTGTAAGAGACAAAGAAGGCTGGTGAGATGGTTAGGTATTATTTCTTTTTAAATAGAAGCAAGGTCTCACTATATTGCTCAGGCTGGTTTCCATCTCCTGAGCTCAAGTGATCCTCCCACCTCAGCCTCCCAAAGTGGTAGGATTACAGGTGTTAGCCACTACACTTGGCCAGTATTATTTCTTAAACAAGGCTTTCTATGCCACCCTAGACTGTCTATTCTAATGAGAGTTTTCCCTGTCTTGTAATGATTTGAAAAAACAGTGGTATTAGTCGTTGGTGCTAATCTAAGCTACAGATAATGATATACATATACATATATATACACACACACATATATATATACATAAAATATTTTATATATATATAATTTTTTTTTTTTTGAGACAGACTTTCGCTCTTGTTGTCCAGGCTAGAGTGCAATGGCACAAATCTCAGCTCACTGCAACCTCCGCCTCCTGGGTTCAAGCGATTCTCCTGCCTCAGCCTCTCAAGTGGCTGGGACTACAGGCATGCGCCACCACGCCCAGCCAATTTAGCACTTCTGGTAGAGATGGGGTTTCTCCATGTTGGTCAGGCTGGTCTCGAACTCCTGACCTCAGGTGATCCGTCCCCCTCGGCCTCCCAAAGTGCTGGAATTACAGGCATGAGCCACTGTGCTCAGCTTACAGATAGTAATATTAAGGGTTATCTGTCCAATATTATTGAGCAATGGGTGGTTTTTTAACAGTCAACCAGTATGATTTCTTAACCATAGGTTTTGGAACTAGAAGAGTTTCACCAGTGGTTAGCAGATCACCATCACTCATTTTTCTTTTTCTTTTCTTTTTTTTTTTTTTTTTTTGAGACAGAGTCTCGCTATCACCCAGGTTGGAGTGCAGTGGCACGATCTCAGCTCATTGCAAGCTCTGCCTCCCGGGTTCACGCCATTCTCCTGCCTCAGTCTCCCAAGTAGCTGGGACTACAGGCGCCCGCCACCACGCCTGGCTAATTTTTTTGTATTTTTTAGTACAGACGGGTTTCACCATGTTAGCCAGGATGGTCTCGATCTCCTGACCTCGTGATCCACCCACCTCAGCCTCCCAAAGGGCTGGGATTACAGGCGTGAGCCACTGCACCTGGCCATCATCACTCATTTCTTAGACACATACTTATTAATGGCTATTATGTGTTATATAGGCACTGGGGATACAACAAAAAGTAAAACCGTAAGACAGTGAGTTACATGTCATTTTTCTACTCAAAAAAACAAAAAACAAACAAACAAACAAAATGCCCACTGTTCAGCTACATGTAAACTTTTTTTTTTTTTTTTTTTGAGACAGAGTCTCACTCTGTGGCCCAGGCTGGAGTGCAATGGCGCGATCTTGGCTCACTGCAATCTCCCCCTCCCAGGTTCAAGCAATTCTCCTGCCTCAGCCTCCCGAGTAGAGTAGCTGGGATTACAGGCACCCACCACCATGTCCAGCTAATTTTTGCATTTTTAGTAGAGACGAGGTTTTACCATGTTGGCCAGGTTGGTGGCTCACGCCTGTAATCCCAGAATTTTGGGAGGCCGAGGCGGGCGGATCATGAGGTCAGGAGTGTAAACTTGTTATGTGGGGATCCTTCTCTTGCTTTCCTTGGTTTAGCATTAAATGTCCTCCATAAAATGTCCCTTACCTCTGGGAAGATATTTTCAAAGCTTTAACAGTAGTTATCTCTGGATAAATGTGGGTGGTGAGGCTACTGTGGGTATTTTATTTTCTTTAAAATATTTTTGGCTGGGCGTGGTGGCTCACACCTATAATCCCAGCACTTTGGGAGGCCGAAAGAGACGGACTGCCTGAGCTCAGGAGTTCAAAACCAGCCTAAGCAACATGGTGAAACCCCATCTCTACTGAAATTACAAAAAAATTAGCCGGGTGTGGTGGCGTGCGCCTGTAATCCCAGCTACTCAGGAGACCGAGGCTTGAGAATGGCTTGAACCTGGGAGGCCAAGGTTGCAGTGAGCGGAGATCATGCCACTGTACTCTAGTCTGGGTGACAGAGTGAGGCTCTGTCTCAAAAAAAAAAAAAAGTTATCTTGTCTGGGTACAGTGGCTCACGCCTGTAATCCCAGCAATTTGGGAGTCCAAGGTGCACGGATCACTTGAAATTAGGAGTTCAAGATCGGCCTGGCCAACATGGTGAAACCCCATCTCTACTAAAAAATACAAAAATTAGCTGGGTGTGGTGGCAGACGCCTGTAATCCCAGCTACTCAGGAGGCTAAGGCCAGAAAATCACTTGAACCCATGAGGCAACGGTTGCAGTGAGCCGAGATTGTGCCACTGCACTCCAGCCTGGGTGACAGAGCAAGACGTTTCATCTCAAAAAAAATTTTTTTTTTAAATACATTTTTTACTATGAAAAAACACTTTTATCTTTATAACTTCACTTTTTGGTACTGAGTGCATACTGTTTTTTACTTCTTTATTACACAATACACGAATAAAGTTTCCTCATAAAAACTCAAACAATACAGAGATACACAAAGTAAAGACCCTCTCCAGTCTGAACCTCCCACCTCCAAATAGCTCTAATAAGTAACCATTGTTAGTACTTAGGTATGTACACAACCTCTCCTTTTAATATGCACTTAGATTTGTCAGAAAGGTGATTAAAAAATAAAAATTAATACTAATTTACAAAGATAAAAATGTAGGAATAACTTTTTAGATGAAATCAGATGATAAACATTCTGACTCATTTTATCATTATTTTAAAAATTAACAATACATCTTAGAGATCTTTTCATGTTAGTACACTCTTTTAATTGCTGCACACTATATTACAGTATGGGTGCATGATAATTAAGTAAATAGGTACTCCCTTCCCCTCTTAAGAAAAAATAACACAAATGGTAAAACATTAGAAACACTATACTGTGCCTTGTATGTACTAATATGAAACTATATCATTCTCTCTCATAGCTGCAAGATATCCCATTGTATGGATGTACTTCATGTCCCCTAAGGGAGAGTTATGGGTTATTTTTTACTATTACAAACAATATTCCAATGAATGTTCCTGTGTATGTGTGTGTGTTTGTGTACGTATGTGTGTGTATTTATTTTTTTGGTATACATCCATGAGTACTTATTTTTCATTATTTATTTATTCATCTATTTTTGAGACAGAGTCTCCCTCTGTCATCCAGGCTGGAGTGTGGTGGCGTGATCTTGGCTTACTGCAACCTCTGCCTCCCAGGTTCAGGCAATTCTTGTGCCTCAGCCTCCCAAGAGCTGGAATTACAGGTGCATGCCACCACACCCAGTTAATTTTTGTATTTTTAGTGGAGACGGGGTTTCACCATGTTGGCCAGGCTTGTCTCAAACTCCTGGCCTCAAATAATCCACCCGCCTCGGCCTCCCAAAGTGCTGGGATTACAGGCGTGAGCCACCGCACCCGGCCCATGAGTACTTCTGTGAAAAAGATAAGAGAAATCAATACTCACTGCTAAACTTCCATCCAAATAAACTTTAGAAACATTTCCCGTTTCTAACTAATTAAAAAAAAAAAAGAGAGAGACTGTTAAGATTGTAACAGTATTCTGGGTATCTTATTCAAATCCATAAGTTTTAAATATATATACATTATATTCTTCTACTGAAAAATGTTAGAATATTATAGTGCACAAAAAGGAAGGCTGACAGGACACATACCAAATATAAGTTATATGTTTATAATGTTTAAGTTCTTGGCACATATTGATCTGGGTTAATTTTTAAAAAGTAAATAAAGAAAAATAAATATATAGTGAATAATATGCTTAATTTGCCTTTCTTTTAATCCTACAGGTAAAATTCATTCATTGGATTGCTATAACACCAGCATTCACAACTAATATTTCAGATACCATAAAGCTGTAATTACTTGTAACTACTAAACAAACATGCTAGAATTATTTCTCCTGTTTAACCCTCTTCTACTATCTTCCCTGTTTATTCCACTATACTCTGAATCATTTTACTACTGACCATCTTCTCTACAGGAAGGTGGGCATTTGAGGTAAAAATTAAATTTAGTAATAAAAAACTCATAAAGAATGGGTTGAAATCAGCAAATATAGTTTTGAATTAGGAATAAATTTTAATGATCAAATATTTGCTTTTCTGTCCCTCGGATGAATTATTAATATTTAATAAACCTACATATATATGTATTTTATTCTTTCCCTTTCACAAATTAGCTAATTATTACTGAAAAATGTTTACATTTAACATTTAAAACATCTATCAATAAAATATACTACATTAACATGTTACAGGAAATAAGCATATAATCATTTCCATAGATGGCAGTCCCCAAAAAGCAAGCATTTGATAAAATTCAGCACTGAAGTAAATACTCTTATTGTACCAGGACGAGAAGGGAACTTCCCTAATCTGGTAAAAGTTATTTACCAAAACTCTATGGTATTACAACCTGGCAGATACATAAAAAAGAAAAAAAAAAAACTCTATGGTAAATTCAACTTCATTTTATAGGAAGTTCCAGCTAGCATAGCAAAGCAAATTAGGAGAATAAAAAGTGAAAAGGATGGAAAGAGATAAACAAAACTATTACCCTTCACAACATTAATTGTGTGCATAGAAAACCCAATAAAATCTATGGACAAATTACAGAATTAATAATTCAGCAATGTTGCTAGATTTAAGGTCTACATATAAAAATAAATTATATTATTATACACTAGCACCCTACTTAAAACGTAATTTAAAAATATATCACTTATGATCACAACAAAAAACATAAGGCATTTGAGATGAAATCTAAACAAAAGGTATGTAAGACCTATGGAAGCAATAAGTATCTCTTACTGAAAGATACTATAGAAGATCAAATAAATGGAGTAATACACCCTATTCATGTAAATTATCCCCGAATTAATCTTCAAATTCAAAGCACTTTCAGTCAAAATATCAACAGAATGTAATCCTCTCTCCCTCTGGAACTTAAGATACTATAATTAACAAGAAAGCACAATGAAACAAGAATAGCCATAACAATTCTTTTATTTATTTTTGGACGGAGTCTTGCTCTGTTGCCCAGGCTGCTGGAGTGTAGTGGCGTAATCTCGGCTAACTGCAACCTCTGTCTCCCTGGTTTCAAGCTATTCTCCTGCCTCAGCCTCCCGAGTAGTTGGGATTATAGGCATGCGCCACCACGCCAGCTAATTTTTTTGTATTTTTAGTAGAGACGGAGTGCACCATGTTGGCCAGGCTGGTCTTGAACTCCTGACCTAAACTGATCTGCCTGTCTAGGCCTCCCAAAGTGCTGAGACTACAGGCGTGAGCCACTGCGTCTGGCCGCCCAACTATTTTTCAAAGTAGTTGTACCATTTTACACTCCTCCCATTTCTAGTTGCTCCAAATCTTTGTCAACATTTATTTTCAGTCTTTTAAATTTAGTCAATCTAGTACTTATGGGTGGTATCTCCCTGTGGTTCTTTCTGAATTTCCTGAATGGCCAACGATGTTCTGCATCTTCTCAAGGGCTTAATGACCATTCACATATACTCTTTAAAAAAATTTTTTTTTTTTTGAGACGGAGTTTTGCTCGTCGCCCAGGCTGGAGTGCAATGGTGCAATCTTGGCTCACTGCAACCTCTGCTGCCTGGGTTCAAGCAATTCTCCTACCTCGGCCTCCTGAGTAGCTGGGACTACAGGTGACTGCCACCATGCCCGGCTAATTTTTGTACTTTTAGTAGAGATAGGGTTTCACCATGTTGGTTGGGCTGGGCTGGTCTCCTGACGTCAGGTGATCTGCCCGCCTCAGCCTCCGAAAGTGCTGGGATCACAGGCGTGAGCTACCGCACCCAACCACACATATTCTTTTGTTAAGTATGTGATTTTTATTGCTACTTTTTTTCTATTTCTTACTGAGTTATGTACATTTTTCATATATTCTGGATATAAGTATTGTTCTGTTATGTTTTGCAAATGTGTTCTCTCAGTTGTAGCTTGTTTTTTTTTTTTTTCAAAGAGTCAAAGTCTTGCTCTGTTGCCCTGGAGGGAGTGCACTGGTGATAATTATTACCACAACCTCTAACTCCTGGGCTCAAGTAATCTTCTCATCCTCTTAAGAAGCTGGGACTAGAGGCATGCACCAACACGCTCAGCTAATCAAAAATAAATTTTTTTTTGCTATGTTGGCCAGGCTGGTCTCAAACTCCTGGCCTCAAGCAATTCTCTTGCCTAGGCCTCCCAAAGTGTTGGGATTATAGGTGTGAGCCAGTGCCCCTGGCTGCCTTGTCATTTTCTTAATGGTGTTCTCAAAAGGAGAAGCTTTTAATTGCAATGGTTTTCGATTTATTAAGAAAGCCTGGCCGGGTGCAGTGGCTTATGCCTGTAATCCCAGCACTTTGAGAGGCCTAGGTGGGTGCATCACTTGAGATCAGGGAGTTCGAGACCAGCCTGGCCAACATGGTAAAACCTCATCTCTACTAAAATATCAAAAATTACCCAGGCGTGGTGGCATGCACCTGTGGTCCCAGCTACTCAGGAGGCTGAGGTGGGAGAGCCGCTTGAACTAGGGAGGCAGAGGTTGCAATGAGCCAAGATCACCCACTGCACTTCAGTCCAGGTGATAAGGAGATCCTGTCTTGAAAGAAGAAAAAAATCTTTGCCTCGTCCAAGATCATGAATATTTTCCCCATTTTCTCTTGGAAATTTCCCAGTTTTAATGTCTTATCCTGGGATAAACTCTGAATTAAATTTTCTGTGTGGTGTTAACGTTAATTTTTTTATACAAATATCCAGTTGTTACATCATTTATTGAGAAGACTAACCTTTTTGGCATTCTATTATGTTGGGCCCTTTGTCAAAAATCAACCAGCCACATTAATGGGTCTATTCTGGTAGCTGTTCTGTAACCTGACAGTCTTTACCCCAGTATCACTGTTTTTGATTTCAGTAGTTTTACAGCACGTCTTGAAACCAGGTAGTATAAATCCACCAACTTTGTTCTTCTTTAAAAGAGTTTTTGGCTCTTCAAAATAGAAATGCTAGGTTCTTCGTACCAGCATATAAATCTTAGAATCAGCTTGACAATTTTATATGTGTGTGTGTGTATATATATATATATATATATAAATTACATATATATATATATGTAATTATTTTTTTGAGACAGAGTCTTGCTCTGTCGCCCAGGCTGGAGTGCAGTGGTATCTTGGCTCACTGCAACCTCTGCCTCCCAGGTTCAAGCAATTCTCCTGCTTCAGCCTCCTGAGTAGCTGGGACTACAGGCGCACACCATCATGCCTGGCTAATTTTTTTTGTATTTTAGTAGAGATGGGGTTTCACCATGTTGCCTAGGCTGGTTGCAAACTCCTGAGCTCAGGCAATCCACCCACCTCAGCCTCCCAAAGTAAGCCTGATGGGATTTCTATTGTATTGAGTTTATAGATCAATTTGGGGAGAATAAAATTCTTAACAATTTGAGACTTCTGGTCCAAGAACACCTCTTTACCTTCCTTGTCTTTCTCAGTAATGCTTAGCTTTCAGCGTAAGGGCCATGCACATCTTTACATTTATTCCTAAAAATTATGTTTTATGTTATGAATGGCACTTAAATTGTTTTTCAATTGTTGAATGCTGGTATTATTTGTTATAGTGCTAGTATTCATTTTTGTATATGCAGTTAGCATCCTGTGGCCTCACTAAATTGATGTATTAATTCTAATAATTTTAATGGGGCTTGTTTTGGTAGATTCTTTAGAATTTTATTATTAAGAGTATTATGTCTTCTACGTAATAACAGAGATAGTTTTATTTCTTCCTTTACAAATTATGCCTTTTATTTCCTTTTCTTGCTTTGCCACTGCCTGGGACCTCCAGTATGATTACTAAATAGAAATAATGAGAGCAAGCATCCTTGCCTTCTTCTTTAATTTAGGGCAAAAGCGTTCAATCTCTTCACCACAGAAGTATGATGATGCCTGTATGTTTTTCTACGTGTTTTTAATTAGCTGAAGAAATTTCCTTTTATTACTAGTTTGTTATAAATTTTTATCACGAGAATGTTTAAAATGAGTCAAATAACTTTCCTGTTGAGAGGATCTTTGTCAGGTGTTAGTACCAGGTATACCAGCCTCAGAAAATGAACTGGGGCCGGGCATGTTGGCTTATGCCTATAATTCCAGCGTTTTGGGAGGCCCAGATGGGAGAATTGCTTGAGCACAGGAGTTCGAGACCAGCCTGAGCAGCACAGCCCAGGAGGTTGAGGCTGCAGTGAGCTGTGATCACACTATTGCATTCCAGCCTAGGTGACACAGCCTGTCTCAAAAAAAAAAAAAAATTTAGAAAACAATCTGGGCCGGGCACGGTGGGCTCTAGGCCGGGCGCGGTGGCTCAAGCCTGTAGTCCTAGCACTTTGGGAGGCCGAGATGGGCGGATCACGAGGTCAAGAGATCGAGACCATCCTGGCTAACATGGTGAAACCCCGTCTCTACTAAAAAATACAAAAAACTAGCCGGGCGAGGTGGCGGGCACCTGTAGT